AGAAAGAAAGAAAGAAAGAAAGAAAGAAAGAAAGAAAGAAAGAAAGAAAGAAAGAAAGAAAGAAAGAAAGAAAGAAAGAAAGAAAGAAAGAAAGAAAGAAAGAAAGAAAGAAAGAAAGAAAGAAAGAAAGAAAGAAAGAAAGAAAGAAAGAAAGAAAGAAAGAAAGAAAGAAAGAAAGAAAGAAAGAAAGAAAGAAAGAAAGAAAAAATAATTTGAAAAAATAAAGTTGAGAAGGAGCCAGGCATGGTGGAGCACTCTAATTCCAACACTGGGAAGCAGAGGCAGGTAAATCTCTGTGAAATCCTAAGCTAATCTTGTCTGTATGGTGTGTTCCAGACCAGCTGGGGGTGACAGAAATCCTGTCACAAAAAGACCAAAACAACAGCAGCAGCAGCAACAACAGCAAAACATTGACAAGGAGGCTGCTCTTCCAGAGGACCTGGGTTCATTTCAAAGCACCCATACAGCACTTACCAACCATCTCTAATGCTAGTTCCAGGAGATATAACACCCTCTTCTGGCCTCTGTGAACACTGCACAAAGATGGTGCACTTGCATGTAGGCAGAACATTCATACACATGTTAAAACTGAACATTTATTTTTTTAATTATTTAAAATTTTTTAGTTAATATTTTAAAGTGCAGATATTTTCAGCAGCAGCATAACAAGATTCCTTCTCCTGGAATTTGAAGTACCAATATCTCTTACTCATCTGTTCTTTGTGTTATTATGATGAGTGAAATTAAACAAAGCAGGAATATACTTTTATGGTAATTGTTATTTTTATAAGTTGTATATATTTCTTATGAGTCCATATAAAGAAATAACTCGGAAATTACAATACTTTGAGAGTCTGAAAGATTACTTTTGATATCATGTTCTTTCTCTTTCTTGAACTTAGTCTGGCACTTACGCAGCTGTCTTAAGAAGTTTCTTTTGGTATAATGACCACTATTGTAATTATTAGCATTCTATAAATGCTAGTTATCAATTACCATGAAATGTTTTTATGCACTTGGTTTCAAACTGTGTCTTGGTAAATTTGCTGTGGTAGCTGTTGACTTTAAGACATAAATATGTATTTAAATAAATTCCCAGTCAGGCTAAAGTTGCAGCAGAAATATTGCATCATGTGGCACAACCTTAGAAACTTTGTGTCGGCAGTTAAGGTCCCTGGCTCCCTGTGGGTATTTTAGGCCCTCATACCACATAATGGGCCATTAAGGAAAATGTTTAATTTGAGACCTATCCAGGGGCACTCTGCTTAAGTGAGATAATTTCCAAATGTGTATTTTTCTCACCTCCCTGGTTGCTACTCTGTACTAACCAGAGGGAACGAAACAAGAAAATTACCTGTACTATTTTGTGAATCACAAAAGATTTCTGTCATAATCTAAAGAACAATTTAAATATATCGTGTGTGTGTGTGTGTGTGTGTGTGTGTGTGTGTGTGTACTTTTTTTTTGGTAAAGAGATTCTAAAGGAATTATCTTTGGACTTTGATATACGTTTTAAAGAATTATCCAGCCATGCCTATGACAGAGACCAATAACCTTAGTCACTTGGGAGGCTGAGGCAAGAAGGATCACAAATTCAAGGACAACCTGGGTAAGTTAGTGAGACCAGTTCTCTAGATAAAACTTTGAAAAAGAAATCTGGAGATATAGATCATCAGTCAAGCACTTGCCTGGCATATACACAACTCTAGCTTCAATCTCCAGTAACACACACACACACACACACACACACACACACCCACACACACACACACACACACACACACACACACTCCAAAACAAAATGAGAAACTAAACAAGAATTCCAGTTTTATTGTAATCTTAGTGGATAACTCCTTTTGAAAAAAATCTATTGAAAATTTGAAATCAAGGTTTAAATTCCTATTGTCTATGTGAAGATTATTTTGGGGACTAACAATGCATGGTAACTAAAAAACAGGCAACCTGTAATACATTAATTAGCTCATTAGCTCATGAGGTATGCCTTCCCCTGTAGTCCTTTTTGCTCTGAAAATCTTCAAAAGGTACTGTATATGGAGGTGGTTTTCCTTAGCTTTTAGGAGTTGGGTGCAATGGATTTGACAGTGTTTCCTCCATTCTTGTGCCTTGTGTCTTCTAGATTGTGTTGATAATTCACCTACTTAGATTCATCTGTCATTGTTTCCAGAAAATTAGTGTTAAGAAATGCCATGCTTTTCTTCTTTCTGTTCCCACAGTGCACACTGCAGATTTATATGCTTTCTGCTATCTAATGTGATATTTAATGATCTTTGTCCCCAGCAAAGAAGACAATGTTTTACCACCCTCGACTGTGGTCTTAGTTGCATTGGTAATAGAATTTAAAATTTCTTTGAAGGAAATATGATTATATGGGTTTTAAGTCAAACCTTGTAGTTGTACTTATGACATGAATTGTATTTGGATAAAATTTTCTAGCTGTTAATAATCATGAACTTCTCAGGTAAATTGTTATAAAATTGCCCAAAGTGAAACATAACCTAGTTTAGCAACATTTTAACTTAACCATAAAGGACCTATAGATACAATTAAAAGTCCAATAAATGTTACAAATTCTTGAGGTAATTTGGCCCATTTAACAATTTGTATCTTAATATTAAAATAACTATGAGAAAGGGCTGGAGAGACAGCTCAGCGGTTAAGAGCACTGACTGGTCTTGCAGAGGACCCGGGTTCGAGTCCCAGCACCCACAAGGCATCTGCGAACCATCCTTAACTCCAGTTCCAGGGGAATCCAAAGCCCTCTACTGACATCCACGGCATTGCACAACATGGGTGCACTCACATACATGCAGGCAATACACTCATATACATAAAATAAAAATAATAAAATATTTTTTAAAATAACTATGAGAAAGTCAGCAATAATTCTACTTTGAAGATATATTTCCTTATTTTTCTCTGACATTTGAAATAATTTCAGTACCCTTTTTTAGGTTGGTAATAACAGAAATTAAAGTCATGGGTTTTGAAATTTTAATAATAAAATTTATAATTATTTCAAAATTTTTATTTGAGAAGTATTATCATATTTGGGGTCTTTTTAAAAACAATTTCTCTAACTTATGAGACTCTTGCTTTGCCCTTAAGTATCTCTAAGATCATAATTCATAGGTTGTTCTCCAAATAATGTCCCTCACCCACTGTAGAGCAAGCAAAGGAAAGTGTCTTCTGAGTCTGGTATCTATGAAATGAGCTATATACATGTTTGGTGCCAGATGTAAATTGTTCAGAAAAGAGGCTATTGATGCTTCTGCTTATGATACTATTTTCACAAGCTGATTGTATATTTCCTAGTATAGCTGTTTCCTAGATTTTCATCACATTCCACTTGACATGTGAATTCAATTTTAATTACATTGTACTGGATGGTCCGTTTACATACAAATATGGACTTCATTGTTTTTAGCTATGGCCTCAGCATGTGCATTAGCCTCTTCATCCCTCAGTTTCTTCACTTGCAGTTAGGAGCAGAATGTCTCTTCCTTGGGTGCTCATGTAACAGTAATGTTTACAGTTAAAATCAACTAAATGAGTTAGTGCACAGGAAACTTTCAGAACAGTGCCTCACGTTATAGGGCTTCAAAACATGTTAGTCCTTGCTTAGAGAAAGACTCTTATTTTGCTTGATTCTCTGTAAATTTAGGAATAGATTTACACATTGCTATTTCACATGGATTTATTTATTTGGACTAGCTTTATTGTTACATTATAAATGTTTCACCTAACATTTCACCTGCCCTTCTTAATTTGTACTTCTTACAAGAAGTTCTATTCCCAGCGCCCATATGGTGACAAACATCCATCTGTAACTCCAGTTCCAAGAAATTCAATGCCCTTTTCTGGCTTCTGTGGGCGTTTCATGCATGGATGCACTTACATATGTGCAGGCAAAGCACTCATACACATACAATAAAAATATTTTTTCTTAATACATAATTTCTATTGATTTTTTTGTGCATTTTATGCAATACATCTTAATCAGATTTAGACCTTCTCCCTCATTGGCACCTCTATCTAGCCCCCAATTTCATGTATTCTGTCACATATGTTAAGGGCTATCAAGTCAACTTTATGTACCCAGATCTCTCTTGGTGCAAGTTCATCCACTGGTCTAGTCAACCTATGTAGAGTCACTCCCTTAAAGAAGATCAACCCTCCTTCACCCAGCAGTAATCAATGGCTAATACTTCCTCCTCTAAGGTTGGGGCCTCCTGTTCATTTCCTCAGTTCTGTGCTGGATTTTTGTCTGATTGAGTTTGGATGGGCCTTATACATGTTGTCACCATTGTTGTAAGTTCATATGAGCAAGTTTCTAGATGACTAGAAGACTCTGTTTCCTTATGTACATGCACCAACCCTGGCTCTGACAATCTTCCTGCCCTCTCTTCCACAATGGTCCCTTAGTTATGAGCGGGTGAGGTGTAATAAAGGAGTCCTATCCAGGGACATGTTCTCTGCAGTCTTTTATTCTTTCTATCCCCTGTTCTTCTATGTTTCCTGAGCCTCATATGTAGAGTTTCCACTGTAGATGTGTCAGCTAGGACTGGGCATCTCTCTGACACTTATTCTCTTTGTGTGATCTGTTATGGTACTCTGTAATAGCCTCCATTTGTTACAAAAATAAGCTTTTTTGATGAGTGGTGAATAGTTTACTTGTCTTTAAATATAAAATTTCATATTTAGCATACAGTAAGACCTTACATTTATCTATGGATATGACACAGGAAGCATTTTCTCTAGAATCTATGACCTCTCCAGCCATGTGTATTTGACGATGTTTACAGTATCATTTATGAATTTTCTCCCTTTGAGAGTTCTTAAAGTCCAATTAGGTAGCTATTGATTACCCCCAAGATTAAAGTACCACCTCTGCACCTCTGTAGTTTGTTGTGCTGGTCATTGTTGTTGTTATAAAGCTTTAAAGCTGGGTTGGACCATTGATTGACTTTCTCTCTTGACAGCTTGCATAGTATCCTCTAGACCTGTGAGAACTATTCTTCAAGGAAGAGGTTTCCAGGTCAGTTCTAGCTCCATAAATTTTATGGATTTAGTCATTTAGTGATAAAGGAACTCAACTTTGTTGTTTCATGCATTGTACCCTTAAGTGACTCTCCTGATGTCATTATTTTCAAGTTTAAATAGCAGAGAAATTATCTTGAATATTATGTGTATGGCTATAACATGAAATCCATTGTTTTTAGTTTTAATTACCTGATAGTCAATAATTGAATTATCATATTATTTGCATGTGATGTCTAAACTCACTGGTTTAGTTTCCAGTTGGAAGTATAAATAGAGGGATGTCTTATTCAAATTCTCTTTGGAAATAAGCTCCATTCTAAAGCTTTGTGGGATTTCAGGAAAGAGTTTGACTCAAATGCGCTTATGCAAAAATGTGATCCTGTAGAAAATTTTGATGTATTTCATGGATTAAAGCTGAGTTGTTCCTAAAGCTCAAATAACAATGTTCATTAAATCTACATTTATTCCCAATATTAATAAACATTTATTAAATCATAACACTGTCTGAAATTCAATTAAATGGGGCATTTATTCAAGCAAAGTTATTAACATTACCTTTCCAGACAATTTTTTTCCAACTGAGCACTTAAGTGCAATTCTTTAAATGTAATTAAAAGGAGATTGGTATCTTCCTTATTCAACAGCAAACAATCTTTTTGTTAGTGTTTTAGAATTGTAGACATTTGACATTTTGTTTCTCAAAACATGTTTAATATAACCTTAAATTTAAGTCTAACTTTTAAATTAGTTTAAAAGAAATCAAACTGAAAAAGTCTCCAAAACTCACTGAATTTTCTCTCTTGCTGCAGTCAATCTGGAACTTATAGGGGAGAAACAGGAGAGGGCAGAGACACTGCAGTTCTAGCTGAAATGTCATTTTACTCCTCAGCATCTCCCTCCTGTATCTTTCCTGTATCTTTTTACTCATTCTCACCTTTTCTCTTTGATTTTTTTCTCCTCTGATTTCCTTTTTTTCACACCAACAAAATTCTATCAGTAACAGGCATTTCTAATAGTTGCCAACTTTTTCCAATTTATTTATTTTGAATCACAGTGCAGGACTTGATCATTACTCTGAGGCACACTGTACCAACTAGAGCAGATGTCCTTTCTGCCACTGCTTGCCTAAGGCATTTTTCTCTTCTCCTTTTTTCCTCCGTTACATCATGATCAATTTAATCTTCTAAAAGCATGGTGTTTACAATGTAGCTTCTTATTTGAGCCCTTTTTTACTCAGCAACTCACCAAATCCTACCACATGCTCTTCTACGATCCTTACTGCTAAATGTAATATCATTTCCCATTTATAACCCAACACTCAAGTATAAGCCCCATCATTAAATGAGAACGATTCTTTCTCATTTAGTGAATTCCTACTTTTGCCAGTAATCTTTATAGTGTGTGTGTGTGTGTGTGTGTGTGTGTGTGTGGTACTTAAGGTTTCAACCACCTGGTAAACTACATGTTAAGTTCAGATATGAACATTAGCGTAGAGGAACTTTAGATGGTCTATGATCATATAACTGACAACTCAGAGTTGGCTTAAAACTGGCTCTTGCTCACTCCAAAACTTGCAGGAATGACCTTTTTTGTTTGTTTGTTTTTTTGATTCAGGGTCTCTGTGTAGCCCCAGCTATTCTGGATCTCACTATGTAGACTAGGCTGGCCTCAAACTCACAAAGATCCACCTGCCTCTGTCTCCTGAGTGCTGCTTCTTTTTTAAAAACATTTTGTTATTTTTATTTTATGCATATGAGTGTTCTTCCCGCTTGTGTGTAAGTGCACCCATGTTGTGTTGTGCAATGCCTGCAGAGGTCAGAAGAGGGTGTCAGATCCCCTGGAATTGGAGATATGGATGGCCGTTAGCCACTCTGTAGTGCTTGGAATCGAACCCGGGTTCTCTGCAAGAGTAGACAGTGCTCTTAGCACAGAACCATCTCTCCAGCCCTTATACTGCTTCTTGAGGCTCAGATTTTTTGATATTTTCGTCTGTAATGACATTTCTTAAAGAGAAAACTTGGAATTTTGAAGAAAAAATGTCAGAAAATATGATCTCATCGATTTCAGGTCAAATAGATGCATACTTACTATGGATTACATTTCTTCCATGGTATATTTGATTTGAATGTGTTAGGAAATAGATCATCACTGCCAAATGAATAACAATAGCATTCTATCTAAAAATCTTGTTAATTCTGTGCAATCAATATTTGGCCTTAAGGAGCATAATGACTGTAAAGCAAGGCTATGACTACTTGGAAATCTGACAAAATATTATGAAAATGCAAGGACTACAGTCTTTCTTATTTGGTGTCAGGCTTAGTTTTTCCAATGTACTAGTTGATTAACTAATTTGATTCATTTAATATCTCAATTTCTACTGATACATGTATTATCTCTAGTTCTTAATTTAAAACCAAATATCAGGTTTATAAAAAAAATTAAAAACATTTAATATTTAATCCAACTAATTTAAATTTATCTTTGGACTACTTTAAAAACCCTTCCTATTTAATGCAGCAGACCTTCTATATTTTATCCCATTGACTCTTACTCTTGGAAAACCATATAACTTGCATTCTGAAATATGTTGTCTTTCAACACCTCTAATTTCAATGATCACCATTTTTGTCTTTTTTGTGAACAAATATAGTACACACTTAGAATGAACTGCCAAAAATCACATACATGAATTTGCCAAAATTAATATTTTTTAAATGTTAAGGCATAGAAATTTTATTCTTTATTAATCTCCAAAGGAAGATAGAGCTGTTTTAAAAATGTTTATTACTAAAACATTGAAGCTCTTAGTCTCAGTGGTTTAAAATTTTGTTAATACTTATTTCATATAATATCTGTGTACCCTAATAAATATTTAAGAAAAATAAATATTTTTGAAACTTGTAGCAATTCTTCAGTTTTCAAATCAAAATGTCTGAAGACACTCTAATGTTGTAGAATTAGTATGAGCAAGAGTAGGTCAAAAACTGCAAGTATTTTACAGTTCCCCTGTGGGTTACTCACATAGACGATCACAACTGAGAGATGACAGATACATCTTGTGACAAACAACAAGGATATTTGTAGGCCTCAGGTTTTAAAACTATATATAACATTTTGCAAACAAGTATTTCACACAGCCCTAATGCCTTTAAAATGCATTTTGCTTCTGCCCAGTGATTGTGACATCAAATGTTTTATAGAATGCTGATGGGAGAAGCTTGTGTTATAAATATCTACGTTTTGGGGCTAGAGACATAACTCAGCTGTTAAGAGCACTGACTGCTCTTGCAGAAGACATGTGTTTGATTCCCAGCACCCACATGACGGCTAACAGCTGTCCATAACTACCAATTCCAGGGGACCCAACTCTGCCTTCTGATCTCCGCAAGCATTGTGTGACACGGGTGCACCAACACTCATGCAGGCAATACATTCATATACATAAAATAAAAATAATAAATAAAATATTAAGAAAAAATAAATATCTTAAATTTTCACTTTGCTGCCCTGTTTCTTTTCCCTAGGCAGTAATTGTGCCATACAGAATTCCAATTGACACTGAGTTTTCTATGTAGAATCTCTTTGGGGAAGACATTTTTGGGAAATATGTCATCCATCTCTTCATAGGGCATAGACTACTTACATAGTAGTAATGCTAAGTAGAAGTATTACTGTTTACATAATGTTTGTTTGTTAGAAAATCATTGACATAATGCATGTTGTAAGGTGTGTGTGTTGTGACTTAATATATCCCTAATCTTTTCTTTTCTTTTCTTTTCTTTTCTTTTCTTTGTTTTTAAACAGGATTGCTTTACAAAAACCTTCAGTAAAAGTCCCAGGCCCCATATAAAAATGAGTTTTGTTAGAGAAGTTAATGATAACACATATAATAAGGATTTCATTCTTTAAAGACTATTCAGAGTAGAGGTACATTTATCTTCAAGTGGATTGTGTGCAATCCAGACATTATTATAATTTATACATGTATATGAATTATATAGCAAGCATTTGTTTGAATTATGCATTTATTTTATTAGACTTTAAATCATTGATATGTTTATATAATTTATTATATATTAATCATATCACACTTATCACATGTACTATTCTAGATATTAAATGTTTTGTTTTTTGTAGTTCAACACTGATGTTTTATTTATGCTTATATATTAAGTAATCTTAAGCTCTTCATTATGCAGATAGGAAAACTGAGGCACTAACAGAGGGAGCGGGGATTCACTTAAGGTCACAAAGCCAGTAGAACAAGCAATTGAGATAGGGTGATTGACTCCAAAGTCTGTACTTGTAACCTCTGTGAGAACAGTGTCAAAAAGTCTAAAAAAGTTGTAATTTTGACTCACTGTAAAGTCAAGTATTTCAGAAAGATCTCGGTTTTCAATGTGAAAGGCTGAAGCTTATAAAAAGATAAATATGTCTTATGCCAAATTCTTGGAAATAAAGTACTGTATATTACAAACTCAATATTTTTTAATTTGGGAATGTTTGTCTATGGTCAAAGAGAAACCATAGGGATGGAACCTAAGTCTAAATATAAAATTCATTTATGTTTCATATATACCTTATCCAAATAGCCTGAAGGTAATTTGCACAGTATTCTCACTGTGCCTGCGTTGCAAGAGTAATCACCTATCATGTTAGGTGTGATGTGGTATTTTCCACTGTGGTGTCATGTAAATGCTCAACACGTTTTGGATTTTGAAGTATTTCATATTTTGAATTTTAATATTAATGATGCTGAATCTGTAATATAGCCTTCAGTAAATGCGTCGTTACTTTGACAATTACTTTTAAAATGTTTTATAATTTTATACTCAAAATTCAAAAATTTTGAAACTTTTTGTCCGTCATCTGAACAGGAAAAAGTAAAGAAACTTCTAAAAGAAGCCCTAATTTCCAATAGTAGATTGGTCAGTTTTAAGGGTACCGGCTCTGAAACAATGCATTCAAATTTTGACTCTTTCCCTCGGTATTTTTACTACCTAACATATAAATTTGTGCAAAGTTTAAGAAAAGGCATCTATATAAGTCTAGTTTAGCAAAATAGATTAAGGATTTTAGTATCCTATGCACTTACTTAACATCTTTATCTTAATTCCTCACATTATATTCTAAGGTGACTAGAAATAGTTGCTAGGGTATTTTATGTTCTAGTATAATGCTTTTGGTCTGGGAATTACTTGAGTGAAATAATCACATTTAAGTTACACTCCAATTCAGTTTGTGTCTATGTGTTTATTTAAAAAAAAAAAAACTATTTAAACTTAGTGTGTTTGCTAGTGACCCTAACTCCCAGGAGGTGGAGCCAGGAGGGTCAGGAATTCAAGGTCATCTCCAGTTACCTCGTGAGTTTAGGGCTACATGAGACCTGAGCTACATGAGACCCCCACATCACAAAAGGAATACCAAAAAATTAGCAACAACAACAACAGAACAGAGACCACAATCTGTTTAGAATAATATAAAGGAAGTGCTTATTTATTTGTTCATTCATTCATTCATTCATTCATTTTGTTTTTTTGGAACAGAGTTTCCCTGCAACCCCGTAGACAAAGCTGCCTGGAGCTCACAGAAATCCACCTGCCTCTGCCTCCACCTCTGGAGTGCTGGGATTAAAGGCATGTGCCACCTTGCCCAATAGGCTATGCTATTTTAGATGGAATCATTAAAATTGTGATTTAAAGGCCTAGAGAGAAACAAGTACTGTTCTTCCTGAGGTCCGAAGTTCAGTTCCCAGCACCCAAATCAGGCAACCTCCTGTAATTCCAGCTCCAAGAGAGTCCATTGCATATGGTCTTCTTGAACACCACATGCACATACCGCCCTTCCCACATATACACATAATTAAAAATAAGATAAATCCTTAAAAATTGTGATTTAAGCATTACTTCACTTTGAATTTCAGTTTTGAGGTTTTAGACAATGAAGTACAAAAAGTATCTTCTCTTGCAATCATTAACCTGTCACCACTGATCCCATAAATGCTATAAAAAACAATAGTTAATATTTAAAATAATTTCTGAATATCAAAACCTTTCTTTTAAAAGTTATAGGCATAGTGATGAATGAAAATATTTATTCTAAGGCTAGGAAACATTTTATTTGTGGAAAATATTTATATGAATCAAACACCAAGTCTATATTTACTTATTAACATTAGAATATTTAAATTAACTTGTCCGGTGGAAATGGGATTATTTCACTCAGGCTTGAGGCTGAAATATGAACTATGGCAGTAAATGCATAAATAATGTCTTTCAGATTGCTTATTCATTTTATGTATGATGTTTGTGCTCATCAAAATTAAAAGAGGAAATGCATATTTAAGTTGGGAAATAAAGGAATCTTTCAGAAACTAACCTAGGAATCTCTCCATTGTAGACCTAACACCCCTTCTTTTCTTTTTTGCAGGTGTCAGATTTGGGATATCAGTGTTTGTTTTGAGGAATTTTTCTTTCTCTTTTTAAGTTTTTTCCCCCATAATTGTTGACATTGGAATACAGAAGAGGGATTGGAAATTTACTCATTTCGCTTCTCTTCCACTTCTGAACACTCATTCTTGAGGAACTCATGCCCCAGCACACAGCCATGTGGTCGCCACAGCTCCTAATCTTCATGATGCTCTTAGCACCACTAGTTCATGGTAAGTTCTTCAGATTTTGTGAAATAAAAAATTTTCCTTACTCATAATAGACCTTTTCTTTGAAATCTTTCTGTTTTTAGCTTTGCCTTACCTTGTATTAATATCTTTAAGTGTTCTAAACTACAATACTTAGAACTTCCAGGAGGAGTTCTTACAAGTTCCTGTTGAAGCCTAAGGGTGTTACACACATTTTTCTTTTTTTCATTCTTTGTTTTTACTGCACAAATGGAAAACCACTTGTATTATTAATTACATAATTAGCTATAAATTTTCAGCTTTGGTTTTCTGTACTTAAAAACATTTTTTATATAGTAAATATGAACATTTGGAGGAGGAAAGAAAATTAGCTTTCCCATACCAAATAATACTTTGTTTTTGCTCAGTGTTTATTGCTCTAGGCAATTTTTAATACACAAAATTCAAACTGCAACATCTCACTAGAAAGAAGTTGCTATAGCTATATAACTATTCAGTATAGAACAACAAAATTATGACATTTAGAGAAAGGGTATTCTACAGAAAATGCTAATAAGTTCATAACAGACTTCATGATTCCTTTGTTCATGTAGAATTCTTGGTACTCACATCACATATGATAATTTGGAAAATATATCTTTCCAAATTTTACAAATTATGTATTCATTCAAAAAGGAAGCATCACCTATATTTTGTACAACTTAATTCAGTATTCATTGAATTTCTCTGGTAAATTGAAGTTTCTAGATATGTACCCTTTTACAGTGCAAAGTTTTCTGATAATTATCATTGGTTTTTGCATTAACATGAAATGTTGCAGTCATCTCATAGACTGATGGTAATTATATAAAAGTAAGAGGACCCAGCTATATTTGTCACTGCATAGACAGTTTCAGAGTACTATAGAGTAGCAAGCAGCTGAAGTGAATTTTTAGCTTCTTTAACTCACTTATGGTTTTTAATTGACTACAGAAACCCATTGTAGTTTGCCAATGATACCATTCTGATTCTGGTCAGTGTCCCTGAATTGCAGGATGAGTCACATGTTTTTGTCAGTATAAAAACTGGATAAAATAGCTGCTGTGTCTTTTGAAGTGCTCCCATATAATTGCTTCGATTCAGTATATTTAGTTCTAATAAACCACTAAAAGGTAGAGATAATTTTTAACATGAGAGAAAAATCTTTAGAAAGCTACCTTGTTTAAAATAATGAAGGTTTGTCAAGAATTCAGAAAAGTTTTCTTATACCTATACTGACCTAGCACTTCCACAGTCACATAGACAGCATTAATGATATGGAACAATAAAAGTAATGCCATTTTAAATATTTCATTCTAATTATCTATGCATGTAAAGTCATTGAAATCAGACTTTAGAAAGTAAAAACTTCATTTATGAGATATTTATGAGGATTAAATAAATAACATATATCAAAGAATATTAACAAAGCAGAAAGTCTTCAAACACTAATTTCTTTCATCATCGCATATGTCCCACAATTTGCTTTCACTTTAATAATTATAACAATGAGGAATTCGCTGACCATAAGAGCTGTTTCATTTAATGTTGATATTAATAAGAATTATATATGTACATATATTCATATACATAATTCATGTTCAGAAAGTCATTCTAAAATCACTCTTGTTAGAGGAAGATTGCTTAAAATAGCATAAAATGAAAAAAATAGTAGAAAATGTTGTAAAGTTATTATCATTTTATAACCAAAGTTTCTGGCTATCTAAAATAGACACTTGTTTGTATCTACTTGGTTCTAAACTTGAAGAAGCCATGAGGTCATGGATCTTTGGGGACTCATAGTCTGCACTGAGCACTCACACTGAACACTCCATTGTTATAGAGTATCTATGCACAGAGAGATAAACAGTTAACTGATAATAAGGTTTCAATACCTTTAAAAAAGTTAACCTAGTGTTTAATGTTTTGAGCTCACAACTAAAGTGGTTCTTTCTATTTAATTTCCCCTACTTAATAGTTTCTTGATTGTGTTTAACCTTAGCAGCCTAAATAATATTGATGTGTTCTATGGAAAAAAAGGACCTTCATGACCAGCTTTGGTGCCCAAATTGCTCTTAAATAAAGGAATGAACCATTGCTCAGGAGGTGAAATATAATAGGAAAGAAATTAGTAAAGTTCCTGCCAATCAAGACTCATCAATACTACATAGTTTGAACCCTCAGATGGCTGAGTTAAAATGTGTGTTACTTGATTTAAGAACTTTTCTTTTCAAAAACATCTTTCTATGGTTTTTCTTGTATATTCTTGAGATGTCCAGTGAAGTTGCCCTCCTGGGTACTGGACTCCATAGTCACTTGAAAGGAAGTCCCTCCTGAGCTATTAACATGATGCCTACTTATTCCATCACCATAAACTTAAAGTGAATTGATTCAGATAATCTTCACAACAATCTCATGGATTTATTACTATTAGCTGTTATTATCATCATCATTAGTACCTCAGTACTGAGGTATTGAGCAGGAAAGTACCTCAACTGAGGTTACACAGATATTAAGTTACAGTGAAGGGAATTACAATCAAGGACCGAACTTCACTGGCTTCTGTGGCTTCCGCCAGCCCATTCTGATCAAACCATTCTGCTCTACGTACAATCTCATCTATACTCTTGCATTTGGGATCAAGTGAGGCAGAAATTCTAATCACCTGGTCGTCCATATTTTTGGACAGACTGATTATGTTTTAAAGCCTGAGAGAACAGTGCTAAAGTTCAATTCTGCCATCTTTTAGCCTTGTAACCTTGTTTCTTAGTAAACTAGTTATGTAATATAATTTATGACCAAAATACTGTGCTAAATGCTAAGGATGGAATGATGGACAAAAATTTGTGTCTCTTCCCTGCAGGAGCTTACAGTACCTTAAAAATCTGCAAATCTATTTTTAAGCTTAAGCTGAAAAATCTTACAGGATAATTTTGAGCAATAACCAATATAACTCCTAGCATAGTGATAGGCATTTAATAAATCTTCTATTATATTTCTTATGCCTTATTTACCTAAAAGTAAATCTACTTCTGAGCAGTAGATAAGCAATAAACAAAGTGCATCCTTGTCCTTAACTTGAGACTTGAAAAAATTCATTTTTACATTAACCGTAGGATTCAACTTTTTAAAAAAATTTATATATACTTTGATACACACAAACCATTAACAAAATTATTATTTAAATGAAATTATTGACAGCATGTAGGCATACTTAAATCACTCTTTGATTTAGCAGCATATAATTGTTAAGTGGTAAATTTTTTGAATGTTCTACACATGAATAAAATGAGAAACTAAGCTATGGACATAATTCTTATAATGATGATAGTTGAATAGTCTACACTTGGCCTAATAGTCTGGCCAATATTTTGAATAGGAAGACAAAAATAATCAGTCTATGCACATTATATGTATATATAGGATTTCCTAAATTAGGAATGTCTCTGGTTCTATGTTTATCTGTCCACATTCTATGTCTCTATGTGCCTCTGTATTTCTCCTTTTCTGTTTGCCATGCCTGTGTTCCCTTCCTGTGTAGCTACCAAATGTATCCTTAATGCAAGGACTGGCAGCTGTAGCAATGAGCAGGTCTTTCTTTCCTGTGCATGAAAATAAAGCCTTAATTTGTATCATTTTATAGATGTGTTTCAGAGCAAGGAGAACTGGGAGGCAAAAGTCTGTGCTTGTTGTTGGAGCTCATTTTTGTGGGAGTCTGAAACAAGGCCTCAAGCATACTAATCAACCCCTATGTGACTTGAGCTCTGTACCTAGCTCTCCACTGTTTTAAATTGTATTTTGATGCAGAGTCTTTATAAGTTGTCATGGAGCTTGCAATTCTCCTGCCTCTGTTTTTCCAGTAACTTAGATTACTAGAGTATACTGCTCTTCCCATTTCCTGACCTTCATTTGGATTGACAGTAAAGGAATGCTAAAGTCAGATGTGGGGCAAGTGTATTCTTGGCTTGTAACTACTCATAAGTGTCAAGAGCTTGGGAGTTAAGAAAGTGATGGTGGTGCTTAAATATTTTAATTATTTCTGTTTATTCAAACTTTATTTTTCTGGATCACAACTGAGAAGATGGATATTGGGAACATTGGACATACTGTAATGAATGCAGAATGATATTTTTTATAGCATCTTTACAAAGAGAGAAAAAGAATATTTAAACTTTAGGAGCACCTTGTATATGTTTGTTCCTCTAAGTCTATTTATTATTTCTAAAGGTATATCTATATTTATATATTGATGAATGTTATAGGCTAATATACCTTATATTATGTTTAAGAAGTTATTTGTGCTAAACAGTCTTTTAGTAGGGACAGACTAAGAATCAGTTGCACATATTCTTTTATTAAGTTTTTATATACTTTTTGATTAATTTATTTTTATGTTTGTAAACTATACAATTTCTTTTAAAATAGATAGATAGGTAGATAGATAGATAGATAGATAGATAGATAGATAGATAAAAAGATGTAAAGCTTGAAAAAGTCAAAAATTGCATTTAACTACATATTTTGCATTATAACATTTTTCTATGAAGATATGCTTTATTATGTGTGAAAAAGGCAGGTTGACTTTTAAGCTCCATTTAACTTTGTCATGCTTAGAAATTAGTCATCCTTGAAAAGTTTATGTTCACCAGCCTAAATGATTTGTAATATCAGCAGTTATATAAATATTTTTAAAGTCAAATACATTATACACAAAATTTGTTTCATCATAATGGTATATGGGTTTACTGCAAAAACATCCAACACAATCCACCTTAGCCAATTTGTAAAGCATTTCAAAATATATGGTGTGTAAGTTACTCTATCTTTTAACCCTACAATGTTCAATGCGAATAGGATGACTAATAACACATTTCATTTGTAGTTATTTTTTAAAGTTTCAGTATAAAGTTTTCCACAATTAGAAAAGACTTTTCATTTGTATTTATACATGCAAATACGTTGTGTGTGATTTTTGTTGTAGTGATGCTCAGTGAGAAATGTGTACA